AGAAAGGTTTTTTTTTAAATTTATCAGTTAAATTAACTACAATCCTTATAATTTAATTTAATAGGGTTTGCAATTCTGGCGATGGTGGTCTCTTGGTTTTACCGTGCTATTGTCCTACTTGGAGGAAAATATGGTCACCCTGCCGGAAGCTATAAGCCAGTTTCCTCGTCTTCGCAATGCGCGGACGTAACGAAGCGCAGGAATTATTTCTTATCCCTTGTCGTTTCAGAAATTGCACGGCGCAGCGCGGTCATGGGCGCCGAGACATAGTCTTCCTGGTTTTCCACGGTACCACGGGGGAAAAAAAAGTCCGCTTAGAAATACCGCTTCATTATAATTTTCATGAAACTCTTGTTATGGAGGCAGGAAATTTTACTGTACGCTATTAGCAAGATAATTGAAATAATCATGAGAAGAAGCGAGGAAGGAAGTCAAGGGAAAAAATTCTGGCGGCGCCCATGCTCGCACTTATTCCCTGCGCTTATCCTTTGTGCTTATCCCTTGTACTTATCCTCTGTCCACCGTAAAGGCGGCAATCAAAAGTACATTTTCACTTAACCCGCTGCACTGGAAATTCCAAGCCGGCGGTGCTTTGAAGCGGCTCCGCGCTCATATTATTGACGTCTCTCCCATTAAAATTTATACGGTGACTCAGAAACCTCTATATTGTCGAACGTTGAATTGATAAAAAAAAAACCTACTTAACTGCCCGAATTATACATTGGAGTCGGAATTATAAAACTTATGAATGGATTAACCTAATCCTAATCCGATCGAAAAAGATCTGCTTTATGAAAAGAATAACTGAATAATCTACAATAATCTATTATTGTTACTTTTAGTTTTCTTGCTGTGGAAATATTTAACAATTATGAAACGTTTAGTTTCGTAATATCATTAATCAATATCTCACAGAGCCATTGGAAAAATATCTTCTTCTGAAGTCAACCGTCTTATTTCTCGCTTGCAATTAATAACAATCGATAACTGTAGAATTGCAAGAGAGTCCTTATTCCGAAACAAACACAAATGAATTCAATTCGTCTTACTCGCGAACAAGAGCGTGTCAGGAAATTAATACCATGTTTATAAACGTCGTAGATGTCGTCGTTCGCAGCAACCACCTGTTTACCTGACGTTATCGTCATCATCCTCCTACTCCTAGGTTCCGTCGACGCGTTCGCCGCAGATTGTCTCTCCCTCCCACCCCCTCTCTCTCTCTCTCTCTCTCTCT